TTCCACATCAAATTGTCTCAGATTTTGAGTTAGGAAAAATGTATTAATTTATGTGGATAGTACTTCATCTTAACATGAAACAAATATAACCTGAATTATTTAAATCATTAACAGGTCCCAACTCTCTGTGCTTTAGTACAGAACATACAGTAACTCATTTATTATTAACATGAGCTCAGTACATGGCTGTATTCTTCAAACTATTTCTTGTACTTATTGCTTTATATCTTATTTTCATTCCATATGTTATTTATATTTTATATTTCTACTGTTATATTCTGTGTAAGAGCATCTGTAACGATGAAGAAATATATTAATAACCATATTATTTTTCCCTGAACTAACACAAAGTTGTTTTTTTAAAATTTGGTAACAGTTTGCACAAATCTTAAGACACTACATCAACCATGTAACGTTAATGTCATCCTCTATAACCTACACAGCACCTTAGGTTCATTTGTGTTCAGTTTATGTTCCTGACGGATAATTACTACACAAAGTTTGTTTTTTAATGTCCACATTTACGTGGAGTATAACATTCATCATAACGTCAGATAACCACCGAGGTGAACCTTTAGCTTCTAACATCACACTAACTCATTATTTTCAACATCTTAACAACAAACATTTCTAACAATTCAGAATTACTTTTTCCCCAGTTTAATAGTGCTGGCTAGATATGTTAACATTAGCATCTTTAGCACGAATGGGAGTCTGGATCGGCTAAACCATTGACCGTAAATAATGGGCCACACTGAGTACAGTTAGCCGACTGGTTAACAAGCTAACACTAAACAAGTTAGGCCCGTAGATATAAATACCGACACACAAGTATACAGTAAATATAACACTACTATATCACTTACCGAAAAAAACTAAAGCATCAACTTCTTGGATGGTCTGTTAACCGAACAGTAAGCCATGTATGTATGAATGGATGAGTTAATTCTGATGGACTCTTTACACTGTAGCCTCTACCATCAGTGTGTGAATGTGTATGAATGGATGAGTTAATACTGATGGACTCTTTACTCAGCAGGCTCTACCATCAGTGTGTGAATATGTAGGTGTGACCTCAGTGTAAAAGAGCTTTGAGGAGACAGAAGACTAGAACAGAATTTTACAAGCTCGAGTCCATTTACCATTATTAATCTTTCCTTCATAATGCATTATTTTCACTACTTATAACACTTCATAAACAGTGCTATGAGTTGTTATAAATGCTTACAATCACTGATCAGCACTGTTTTATAAAAGTGCTTATGATGCGTTATAAGTGGTGCGTTCATAAAACATTTTTTTTTAAATACTGGAAACTGTATTTACTCATTGTGATTCAGTCGCGAAAAAATCATTGCAATACATCCTCTGAGAACCATCATTGTGTGCACAGACACTTCCGCTGAAAGGTGAAAACATTGACATCATTGAAGAGCTTCTGGTAGAAAACTTAAAGATTAAGCTCCCCACAAAATGTGGCAGAGCTTTCTTTGTACAGGAACCTTGAAGATCTGATTAATACTTTGAATACCTGCTGAGATATTAGAGTATGGACACATGGAAGATCTGTTACTTTTGTAATATAGCAATAAGTAAGGTCTTTTTACCTGCTCTTTTGTAATGTTAACAGACAAAGAGTAAGGTATTTTACCTGCTTTTTGTAAAATTTCTCGAGATAACACTTGTTATGAGTTGACACTGTACAAATAAAAATGTATTGATTGAATTGATTGATATTTCAGTGCTTCTCACCAGTGCTCATTGTTGCTAGGTTACAAAAGTTAACTTCTTAGTCCCTCGGTAATGTCTGTTAGGTGTGTTTTAGATAGCTTTTTGTGCTTAATATTTGCTTTAATTAATGTTCTGACATCAGCAGTAGCTCTACACCTGGAAATTGTATTGTAAATAAGACAAGTCAGTCTAACATCTCCTCCGCCATTGTTGTTGATAAAGCCTGATGTTGTACGTGACATTGACAAGGGCAGCCATGTCCCAAAAGTTGAACTGACGCCGAGGGCTTTTTAAACACCCAGGACGCTGAGACGCTTAAAACGCTGAATTACATAGTTATTCTTTTGAAAACGAGCACTGCCTGCGCAAAAACTGCTGTCTGTGGTCATAAGCCCTTAAGTACTAAAAATATACTGTATATTATGTCAAAATTCAATTATTTGCATTAATTTCTGTGTAACAGTTATTTTTTACATAACTTCCTTTGCTTCTGAATATACAACCTTCTTTTGTTCCTTGTTATTAATGACAAAATGTATAAAAGCTTCATATACTGATTCTTTAAAACATGCATTTAAGCTGTATTGTTATTGACAAAATTCACGAGTAATGATATTTACAAGTGAATAAAATAATAAAATTATCACAAAATACACAATTTTATTTTTTAAGAAGTATAAATATTTATGTCATGCCCGTTTTACACCATTTCTATATATCTAGTGAATCCAGTACTCTTTTACCTTACAATGCCTTTTTAGTATTAGAATTGGTTACACTACGATTTGGCTTACAAAAAAATTTGAATTGCTGATAATATTAGTAGTAATAATCCTCACTTTTGCTAAGCATTCAATTTACAAGATTCCAGAAAAAATGTGCAATTGCAAAATGAAAAGATCTCAGAATAGAAATGTGTATATGTCCTTCCTCATAGGTGCATGCCTTGGTTTACACAGGCCTCAGTTTCCAGTACCAAAAAAGCAGAGCGATGTTCAACATTGAACAATTGGGAGGAATGCTGGTTCTTATGTCTTTGGGGCTTGATAAAGTTGACTCACCTTGACCATATGTCAGTGAATTTATTTTGTCTTAATGTTAGTGAATATGTGAGTTTATCCTTCGTACATATTTAGTAAACTATGTCTATCCATTCCTCATTCGAGGGTGCCTGGGGTTTCAACCACTTACGAGTTATGACTTTTTTTACTTGCAGCTAGCAGTGTTGTCATAAGTCCCCTATCTCAGGAGTTTATCTCCCATATAATGTTACAAAGATATACAACATTGTAGCAGAGGAACATTTGTGTGTAATCCACAATTAAACATCTGCCAAGGAACATTGGGTCCAAACCAACATGTGTTATATTCTGACTCCATATGGCCATTTAATCTCTGGGTTATATATATAAAATTGTGATAACAAATGTGACTGAATTATCTGATTACGATTTCAATACCAAATGAGAAAGAGCTGAGTTCAAGAGCTTTTTAGTGTGGAGCACTACTGCCATCTAGTGGTTAGGATTTATTGGACATGTAAGCCCTATAATTATATGTTTAGAATATGTTATAATCATATTACTTGTTATTGGCTATAGAATGTATAGTATACTATCTCTTTCTGTTTTTATGTTGAAACTCAGAATGCTCATTTAATTAAGGTATGCTGATGTTATATAGGTTCTTCCTATATTTACTTTTACTACATTTGTTTTATTAAGTAAAACCAGTTAATTCGGCTCGTACATGAAAGCGTCGGAATCTATTTTATTTTTTATTTGTATTTATTTCAGTTAAGCGTTCGCTTATTAATGGGCGATAAAAAACTATTTCTACAATCATCTCCTCATGATGCTTGCCACCTCTGGTAAAGTTGCCTTCAACCTCAGTTAAACAGATCATACTATTCTCCCCCCGTAGTATAATGGCCTATGTCAAGAGTGTGACTTAGGCCGTTTTATTTTGCTTAAGTCAAAAGTCAATGTGATTGAGGCAATTTTACAAGCTTTTCAAGAAGCTGCTTCAAGAAGAACGACAACAAACCACTCTATCACTGAAGTTATTTCCATGATTCAGGGCTCGTCCCCCCTCCTCAGCATTACAGTATATTTAGTTAATGTGTCAGCTATGCTTTATTGTTGACAGAGTTGAATGTTTCAAATTGCCTAAGTCACAAAAGCATGTTAAAATGCAAAAGGCATGTTATACATGACTTAGGCTACATGCCTTTTAACATAAAAGGCATGTAGCCTAAGTCATGTATTACTCTTATGTTACATAATTGACAGAAATTGTTATTAGTATGTCAATAGCCATCTATTGTAATAACCTTTTTGAATGATAGTTCAATATACATCTATTGATGCACTTAGACACATCATCAGTAATGGAACCTGGGGTCATTGGGTGTTTGGGTCTTTCAACATCATACACCCTTACCCAGGCGACCCAGATTGATCAAGTCCCGGCTTGTGTCTAAGTAGCATGTTCCCACGGATCGCCCCTCTTGATCCACTGCCATCTAGAGGCCTTCTTGGCTGCCTCTGTGGTGGTTTTGATGGACTTTCTCTGGGTGCACCTGTGAAGCCAAGCAGGCTGTATGGTTTGCAGAGAGACCACGATGCGCGCTGTGATTGTGAACGTACTTTCGTAAGCACATAAATTAAATATATGAACCCCAAAAAGGGCATAATATGACCCCTTTAACACAGAAAATATTGATGCTTTTAAAATCTTTGATAATGGGAACCATAAAGTGGGTGGGATTAACCATATTTGGAAGAATGTTTGTGTGAAGAGCAGACAGTGCAGTACCAGCTTAAAACAGAGAGGGGGGGGGGGGCGCAGCTGTGCCCGCCAATGCTTAAAATCACTTAGTAACCTTTAGCATGGCTCCTAAAGTAATGTTAAGGCTTTCCATTTTGTGGACCTGATTTTTTGTCCCCATTCCACTAGAGGTCCCCAATCCGTGACTGTGTAAACAGATGGTTGTCCCCATAAAGTCAAACTTGCCAGAACACACACACACACACACACACACACACACACACACACACACACACACACACACACACACACACAGTTCCCTTCTGTAAAATATAGACACTATATTCCTTTTGAAATACCACTACTATTTATACACTTCTACCTGAACATAGATTTATTTTTCTGGTATGATATTTTTCTACTGCAGAGTAGATATTTTTCTCTTACCTGTGCAACATTTATTCATATTCTCTACTTGTTGCATGCGCGTTCCCGAGAGATGAATGTGGACAGGAACAACTCGGCAGCAGTGTCTGCCTGGAGCCTTCACAAGGGGAGGGGGGACACTGTGTCTGCCCCTCAAGTGGCGTGATTACATTGAGCTCTAGTTGCTACTTTTGGGATGTTTTGACTGAACATTAATGTTGAACAATGCATGTCTGATGCTTGGAGGCTAATGCGGTGGCAGGAAGCACCTTCGGATTCGAGGTCAACTTGAACATTTCCGTTAACGGTACCCGACCTGTCTGGTAAGAATCTATGAACGGCTTGCGGGCTAGTCTAGCAAGCTAGTCATGCTTTTGGTTATTTGCTCAATTTGTTATTACAATGAGCCCGTTTATCGTGACAGGCCTGTTTACATGACGGACAGTGTGTTTTTCATCCATCTTAAGAATCAGCAGAAGATTCTGCTATTGCTAATACGCGACAGTCAAACATGGGGAACCAGCTAGCTGCTAGCTGCAATAACACCCTGGCACCGAAACCCCGTCACTAAACAAGGCTCTACTTAAGGTTAGTGTAAATGAAATTAGCGTTCTGCACGGACTCAACACTCCTTCCCAGTTTTGCTGCAAGTTTCTACAAGTTTGCTATTATTTGATATGATAATAAACACAGAGGCTGATCCTGAAGAAAGTCTGTGAGCATTGACTTGAGTCCTTTTATAATCCTCATCTTCTAATTTAGTTTCTTAATCGCTTTGAGTTTATAATATAGTGTCACTATTTCTGTTTCTTTAAGTCTAATTCTTGTTTTAATCATTAAAGTGAAGCCAGTCATGCTTCAAAGTGAAATTAGCCATGGCTAGAGACCTGTAAAATATATACTTTGTATTTTACAAATGTAGTCCATTGCATGTGTCTCTGTTAAATGAACGAATGCAATAAATAACAGTTCACCCTTTGGTACCATGAACATAGGTCATCTTCAAGTACACATTACATTATTTGGGTGTAGTAAGGCCCATTGCTGTGCATAACATTGTGAAAATATAATCATCTGAAGGTCCAGTTTGAACTACATCACATGGTTCACTTGTGAACAGCCAAGAGCTGAACCCTTCACTGAGGAAGACTGTACACAAAGACACACAATATGTGTACACAGACGTCTGTAGTCATATTACTTGTAAATTGCAGTCGTGCGGAGTGGGAGGATAATTTTCCTAAGGGGACAATAAAAGTACATCTTATTTTCATTTGTCTCAACATAGTAATATTGTGAAAAGTCCTTCCTAGTCAGATATGCAGCTTCACATCTCTCATGTCTAAAGCTTGTTTTGAAAGCTTTCAAATGTATTTTTGAAATCATAAAATTTAAGATTGAAAATCTGACTCAGGAACAAAGTGTTATATGTAGATGCAACTTCTGCTAAACCAAGTTATTGTATGGGCGCAAGGAAAGCCCTCCCAAACCTCAAAAGAGCTAAAACAATTTCAACAACAACAGAAAATTCTTAACAGAACAAACCAGAAGAACATTATGATTGGATAGAGGATTAGTTGGCCTAAATGGAGAGAAAAAAACACCAGAAGCAGCTTTATTAGGATCACTGTAGTGAACTCAAGAATAAATATTCTACTATTCACTTAGCAGATGCACTTAGCACTTAGCTTTTGTCCAAAGCGACGTACATCAGAGAGTAAGAACAACACAAGCAAGGATCTAGAGGAGGAAACAATGTCCGTAAGGGCCCTAAAAACCCACCTCTTTAACAAAGCTTTCTGCTTGTGCTTTTAGTTTCGTTAGTTGCTTAGTTGATTTAAATTTGTTTTTATTTCTATTTTTTCTTCCTGTAGCACTTTGAGATTTTTTTGGAAAAATGTAAAGTGCGTTACAAATTAATTTTATTATTATTATTATGAAGAGCAAACAATCAGCTTTGAATATGCACAGATGCACTAATTCGACCTCTAGTTGAACGATGTAAGCTGGACATGACACATGACCTGTCTCCATCCACCTACAGCACCACACTGAATGTTTATAAAAAGAAAGTTCCATCTTCAGTAAAACAGTTCTTTAATCTGACTCTCTGCAGGCAATTGTGTTGATTCATTTGATTCTGTTTCTAAGTACAGGACTAACCAGGTTGTTTTCTGCTGGAACAGGCTCCACTCTGGAAGTGCCATGTATTCAGGCCAGAGATGAGAATGAAGCCCAGTCGCAACTTCCTCCTGGGCTTGTGCTCCATGCTGGCCTTGGGTTTCCTCTACTACTCTTCAGGGAGGATCAGTTTACGCGGATGGAGCAACATATCATGTGAGTGTACCTCTGATAAGTGGGCGTAATGTCTATGACAACATAAAGTATCATTTTCAGTTAGAGGACGTATTGCCTCTGCAGTGTTTCCCCTAGATTGGAGTTGTAGCAGTGGAGGTCAAGTGGAACAATGTTTTGGTAATGATGTTCTTTAAAAGAATTATTAACATTTATTGGACAAAATAATTAACCAACAACCACCCTATTGTCATAACCTGGCTAATGGCAAAAGACGGGAGGAGTCCAAAATTTCCCAAAGAAAATGAATAATGTATTTTAAGATGATGGTCACATTTGAGTTTGTTATAGCGCAAAAATGAATATATAGTGTTAGTAGAGCTGTGCATCTTCACTGGTCTCACGATTCGATTCGATATCACGATGCATCACGATTCATCCTCACTTTTCTATATTACTGCACATAGCTACTTCTTCATAAACAGAGACATACAGTCTTATAAATATGAACTCCATTTGTATAATTAAAAAAGTGATTTAGACAACAATGTCATTATCAATATCTTTACATTGTAAGTTAAAATGAATAAATTATATAGGTAGCCTACAGTTTAGGTAAAAAGCATAAGTCACTGTGTGTTTAGTTTAATAAACGAGAGAAAGATGTTTTTAAGTCTCTGTGTGTTCCCTTCTCAGGACGTTGTAGCCTTTAGCTGTGAGCTTTGTTCAGGGTTAGTTTTGTTTCTGTCCTTATTTCAGACGAGTTGTGTTAAGTTGCTGCCGCTGTAAACGCCTCATTTCCTGATATGAGTGTTTCACAATAAAAGCACTTCAACTTCAGATAGGCCGGGGACTTTCATTGTGAAGAACTTGTCGGAAATAGAATGTGTTTATTATCAAACGAACGCAGCTTTAGCGGAGGTGCACTTACAGTCCATGGGCCAGACCAGATTCTGGTACCACTCAAGGTGGCAAAGGTAAGTGATGATTTTTGAAAATGTCCATGTCTGTAGATTATATTTTGGTATGATAGACTTTCCTGAGTGGTAGCTGAGTCAAAGAAACCAGCTCATGAAGAGACACCCCCCATAAAACATATTCTGAAACCCTCCAAAACATAGCTTTGCTTCCATTTCCCGGGTCAATCACAGATCTCTAGCTAGCTTGCAGGCTCACTAATTTCTTTACATGCTGGAACAGCTGTACTGGTTGAAGCAGAAAGGGCATGTGCTGGATGCTGGGTACTGGTGGGCTTCAAAGAAGATTCACTTTTTTACAGTGGAAGTACTGTGAATAGTGCGTATAAAATCACTGTATGAGTGAGCAAAGTACTTAATTTTTTTAATGTGGTTTATTTATTTTTTCATTGTTTTATAAAACATAGTAAACATTTATTTTAAAGATACAAAATTACTCTCCTCCAGAGTAAACTGTTACAAATTACATTTGACCTTGTTCTAGCCCCGTCACATTTGATTCCATTACAAGCTGAAATGGGAGGGTGGCAGAGATTTCTGCCAGTCATTGTTCTGATTTAGGGCTCATAATATTGTTTCACAGTGATAAAGTATGGGCATATTAGACATTTCCTGAATCCTTAGATGCTTGTGAGTATTCCAATTTCTGTGTTTTGTGTCCCTGATGTTCCTAGATGTCACAGGGCTAAATGAGAAAGTATATTTAGGCAGAAATTGGGGGAAAATGTGTCTTTTTTACAATTTCAAGAGTCACAGTTACCTCAATGTATGTCACAGTTGGTCTTGAATGATAGCCAAGAATGTCCCCTTTAAAATGATACCAAACACAATATTATTAAACATTACAAACGTCCTGACCATGAGCCTAAACCAGGATATGCACCAGCGTCTAAAATGCATTTAAGTTTGGGGGGCTGGTTTCTTTGGTTTCTTTGACTCAGCTACCACTCAGGAAAGTCTATCATACCAAAATATAATCTACAGACATGGACATTTTCAAAAATCATCACTAACCTTTGCCACCTTGAGTGGTACCGACAAGTGAAATTTTGGGCTCTGGCCCATGGACTATTAACAGTGATACTGTCGGGAGTCTACTTTGTTTACAGCCGCTCACTTTATCACGAGTCACCACCACAGCCCCCTTCTTTTAGTTATCCTGGATTTAAGACAGCGAGGCATCAGTTTAAACACACCTTTACCTGTGGTGAAGATGCTAACCCGAGCTGCGGTTGGCTAAAGAGACACCGAGTCAAGCCCTTTCAGCCTGCAGCGTAGCACTGTGGTCTGAGCGTGCAGGACCAGCTGACTCTGCTCATGAAGTCAGCAAGCACAGGAGCGGGACTCAATCTATGTTGTTTTCTGTCACAAATCCCTCTGTTAGCCTACGTTACTTTCATTACACACCACCGTGTGTGTTTAGGTGAAACAAACAAACTCACTCAACGCTGCGTAAAACACCCGCATTTAGCGGTTAGCAGATGCTTTTTTGTAACCCTCATCAGCATCAATTATGTCCTGTCCCTGCATCAATTAAATAATTATTTTCAACACCCATCCAAACAAGTGTTTGTTTCTCAGGAGATAAGCACCTCCTCTGCTAGATGCATATAGAGGAATTACTGCTCTGCCACATCTCTGTAGCAAACTGTTGGAGTCAGATGGTCACAATAGAGCTGAATTTATTCGCTCTCTAGAGCAAAGATCAGACAGAAACATCCACGTTAAATAGATATATGCAAAGGAGCCTATTACTAGGGCTGGACTTAAATATTATTTGAATATTCGGCAATCGATTATTAGTTTTGGGATTCAAATATTCTTTTCTTTTTTTGGGGGGGGTTCCTGATATTCCTATCCTCACAGCAGTCCGTGAACGTCACACTTCAGTTCACCTTGGCCGTTAAAGGGAAGACAAAATGCCAAAGATTTTAAATTTAGTGAAGACAAAGGCAGTGTGCCTACCACCATGGTGGCACAACAAGCATGAAAAGTCACCTGAATGCTGCAAGTAGTTTGCTATATTTTGACGGTATGAAAAAACGAGACCATACTAGCTAGCAAACTTAGCTGTTTATAACATAAATGTGTGTTTTCTATCTTTGTTTGACTCATTAAGGTTGTAAAACGTTATAGAGACTTATTGAGCCGAGTCGCGACACGCTAAAGTGGTAGGTAAAATCTGTGCGCAGGCTACAGTTTGCAAATCTTCTCCTCTCTCTCTCTCTCGCTCTTGCTCTTGCTCTCGCTCTTGCTCTCTTGCTCTCTCGCTCTCTCTCTCTCGCTCTCTCTCTTGCTCTCTCTCTCCCTCACTCTCTGTCTCTCTCTCTTGCTCTCTCTCGCTCTCTCTCTCCCTCTCTCTCTCACGCTCTCTCTCTCTCCCTCTCTCTCTCACGCTCTCTCCCTCTCTCTCTTGCTCTTTCTCTCCCCCTCTTTCTTGCTCTCTCGCCCTATCTGTCTCTCTCTTGCTCTCTCTCCCTCTCTCTTCCTCTCTTTCTTGCTCTCTCGCGCTCTCTCTCTCGCGCTCTCTCTCTTTCGCTCGCTTCCTCCCCCCTCTCTCTCTCACATGTCAAGTAATCGCAGTCTGGATTATGTTTAACCAAAGTAATGCCATACTAAATCATATATTAACTGTGCATAGGTTACCTGTTTAAAGCTACAGCTTGAGAAATTCTGCAACTACATATTTCTGAAGGATCTGTGCCAACTGATTTATACAGTGTGGTCGGCCTTCTAAACAACCTCGTCTTTTATGGGTGTGTTATCAAAGAGAATGTGGAGGGAGGACTCTGAAAACTAAATGTAAAAATCATCAGCAGTAAAATAAATTCTCATGTATGTGTCTGTTTAGGAAGAGCAGGAGAAGGTATTCCTATAACATTTAACCAGGTGAGGGCGCCAGTCCATTTGAAAAGATATCAAACCTTCCATAGGAACCTTAAGGGTTTTCTCGTCACTGCTACAGAGAAGTCAAGCATTGAATATTTATCATCTTCTCTTGTTGCTATAGGGTCAAGCAACATGATCGTCATTGCCAGTATTTTCTGAGTTTCGTAACATTGTCAAATTGAGACACATTTAAGCCATCATGAGCAGCTGTACGTAATAATGTGCAAGATAAAATGTTGTCATTCATTTTAAATTAAAGAACATCCCTGCAAATTAATGGATACAAAATATAAATTACATAACAACAAATTACAGTAACATTAATTTCTTGTATTTCCAGATGTCTTTTTCCCATCAAGTGTAAATAAGAATGTTTGAAGTCTGAGTGACGTCAGCCATCTGTTATGGCACTAACGACAGGCTGAGAGCTGGAGCTGATGCCTGTTTATTGACTTTAAAGGCACAGCATGTAGATTCAACCACCAGGGGGCTCTCAATCAATATGATAAAAAAGATGACGTTGAGGCTGGCAGGGAATCATGGGAGTTCACCCAGAACCCCCAGAAAAATATTTAAGCGGTAGAGGTTAGGGGTTGCTAATGAGAGTTGGCTGGACTTGATGTTCACTGTAATGCTAGTTTCTTCAGCCTGCAACTACAAAAATTAAAGGTTACACGGTTACAGTACTGCCCAAAAGAATAGACTTAAAAATATCAAAGTGATACTACTACAACACAAACAGCCATTTCCTCAACTGATTCAGAGATTTCTTCCAGAATTGATCTTGAAAATTCCTGTCAGAAAACAGACTCTATGTCTGTGTCCATAGGCAAGCAGTGAGAGCACCGACACTACCAGTCCGCCCCAGGTCGAGCCGGCCCGGCCTCCTCGTCCTCACCGCCGCCTACAAGCGGGTCTTGCAGTCGAGGCACGAGACCTGACTGTCGGCAGCAGCCGCCTAGTCACTATATTGCGGCTCGTAGAGATAGCCAGGAACATCCAATTCGAGCACAAGACCTTCAAAATCCCCTTCATCCATATCAGCTTGAAGGTGAAACATCATTTTATCAAACTTTCGTTCTTCCCAACTTTCTCCATAGAGCCTGATAGCATAGATTCTGGGCGTGAGGTCCCACCCACCGATCTGTAATAGTTCTGTAGCTTCAGTGCCACCCCCCCCCCCCATTAAAACTCGGAAATAGTTTGGAAAATGTCAGTACATTCGTCTTTGAGTGTCAATGGTGACCCAGAACACTTTTCAAACGCTCATCTGGGTTCAATCAGCTGTAAAACCAAGCAGCTGGTTTCTATTTTGCTGTCAATGTCTAATGATAGATACAGTAGAAGACCTATTAAAGTAAACTTACAAAACATTTTTATCAAGATCTGTAAACTGAGGCCGACTTGGAAATAAGGAAGACGTTAAAGGGTGGCACTAGGCCAACCCCCCCCATATATACTGCAGCACCACTTTACATAATATTTGTCTCGTGCCTTTTGTTCTGAAAAGCCAGTTGAATAACACCCAAGTTCTATGGCTTGCCTTAGGCCCCGTGTCCGCCTAGCGTTTTTTTTTCCCAGCGCCAGCATCTTTTTTCAATTGTTTTCAATGAATAGAGAGCGTTCTCTGCAGAAAGCGGCCGCCTAAAAAAAAAAACGCAGTGCCCAACGTCTTTTCTTCCTTTTTTGTACGGCCGCTCCGAGCACTCGAGTAGAAAATCTTCCAACTTTCAGAAAGGCGCTGCTGACGTCACCGGCGGTCTTTTCCAAATGTTTGAAATTCCCCGTAGTTTTGCATCCTAAGAATCGTGTCTTGTACTCACATCCTCCTCGCTCTGTGTCTGATCGGGAAATAAACGATCTCAAATATAAAACATGCAGTAAAAGGTAACAGAGCAGTGTCGCTCAGTGCCTCTTGTCAGCAGACTGTTGTCATGGAGACAGGACAGACGTGCAGCGCTTTTCTTCTCAGTGCATAAACGCCTCATGGAAACACTCCTGAGCGTACAGCCAGAGCTTTTCTGCCCGCAAAGATCACTAGGTGGACACGTGGCCTTTTTCTCCCAATTTGATCAAATAGCCATGATGTTGCTAAAGCCTGCATATCTGTCATTAAAATCTAAAAAGGAGGGGCGCTGGTGTATGTAAAATAAAATAAAATTAAATCTAAAAAGGACGCAGTGAACTCGCTATCCAGGCACCCCAACAATGCACCTCATCTTTTCCTTACAGAACGATACATTGTGTACAACAGACTCGTGGTTAAAGAGTCAAATGTTGAACCACCCCCAGCTCTAGTCTCTGACGGCTGTTTTCATGAAGAACATTGTTTTCAGCAATAATTGAATCTAACCTCCGGTGTTTGTCACCTTCCTGTCCAACAGGAAGTAGACCAACTCCACGTCCACGGGTAAAAGACAACACAAGGTTCACCCTTGTTTTGAACAAGCTTTATCCACTTGGTGTTTCTCCTCACTCTGATTATATTTTCTCTTCTATGCTGCTACGTCCACGTCTGTCATATTCACCGGTTTGAATCTCGTCCAATCACTGAATTGTATACACTCCTAAACTCACCTGCTGCGCTCTCATTGGCTGGAGGAAACACACTAGCTCCGCCCAGAAACGTCCCAAGTCAACCAAAACAAAGCAGAACAGTAAAATCCAGTCAGAGGACAGAGTCTCTGCAGACACAGTCACCACCACACATGTATGGAGGCCCAGAAGAGACGATGGAGCAGCTTTACTTTAGGAGAAGTCTGTCTTTTATTTTGAAGGAACAAGCGGCTGACTCTGTCTTTACTTAGGAGAAGTCTGTATTTTATTTTGAAGGAACAAGCTGCTGACTGTCTTTAAGGAAACATGACATTGTTACAGATGTGCGTGCCCAAAATCCTGCCTCCTCCCCTGACCTTTAATGATTTTAATGTCCTATAAATAATCCCTGATATTGTAAGTGTTCATGTATAACATTTATCTATTTGTTTCTTTGTCTAGTGTACGACAGCCAAGGCTTCCTTGTGAAGCTGGATAGAAGTCTGTAAGTACATTTACCTGTTTATGTTTCACTTTTGACCAAGAGTCAAGGAACCCATCTATCGGGTTTTTTATGTCATTGAGGATAAATAATTTTTGTGTCTTAAGTATTGTAGTTAATATTTGTGTTTGTAAACCTTCCTGACTTCATTCCTCCACGTCTGCAGGCCTTTGGAGCTGTTGTACAAATACGGCAATCTCAGCGAAGGAGCCTGTAAGCCGGGTTATGCAGCTGCCAAGATGTCTGCCATTTATCCAAAGTAAGAGCATGGACCTTAGGGCGCGGTCACACTGGCCATCCGTACCGTACCCAAGAACGATTGCCCAGCCCGCAGCGCTATTTCCCTGCTGGCCGGCGCGGCCCGCGGTCACACTACACAGGACTATCCGTGCCTAAGCACGATTACCTCTTGTACATAACGTCTTAATACAACACATGCACGCTTTATGCTATTATGAAGCGTGCTCAGTTTACAAACAGGCAGACGAGAGAGAGAGAGAGAGAGAGAGCGAGAGAAAGAGACGCGCAGTCGAGTCTGCACATCAGAGAACAACACAGAGCATGACAGCTACTTTACTGACTTTACAGCTTATTTTAAGCCATTTTAATCAGACACAGCCATAAATAAATTTAAAAATAAATAGACGCGCTGCGAGTCCGTGCGGGAGTCCGCAGATACAGACATGAAACTCTGGATTTCTCCATAATGAAGACTGTCAGTGTTGTGTATGAACTACACTGACTACCTAATTCCGTACTCGTGCTAGTGCATGAAGTGTACCGTGCCTGAGCACGATGCGGAGCGGTCACACTAGTCAAACGAACTGGACTTTAGCGTTGAAGCGTGCTTGGGCATGGTACGGATGGCCAGTGTGACCGTGCCCTTATTTGTGTTTTTTAAACAAGGGACATCATTCATGTCTGTTAGATTCATACAATCACTGGTCCATCCCATTCCTCTGATTTGTTGATTGATTTCAGCATTTGAAAAGTTCCACTCGATATTCTGTTATTTATAGGAGTTCAGCATCAGCATGAACATTATTCAAACAAAGCTACGAGATGTTTCAGTTTTGATTCAAGCAATGCCTCTCAACCGGTGCATTTACAAGAGGGATGTACGGACAGTTGACCTCCTCTCTCTCCCGCTCTCTCCCGCTCTCTCCCTCTCTCACCCTCTCCCTCTCTCACCCTCTCTCTCTCTCTCTCTCTCTCTCTCTCTCGCTCTCTCTCCCTCTCTTCCTTGCTCTCTCTCTCCCTCTCTCTCTCTTGCTCTCGGGGCTGAACTGAACTACCTAATTCTCCAACTACATGCTTACAATCTGGACGAAATCAAGTGTTCTCAGTAAACCAGTCCTACTTTATAAAGAAATCTTTTTGAGCTCAGAGTGGTTTATGGAGGGAAGATCCCATTTCTGCTTCTGCATTATTTAAGAACAAAGTAGTTCCCACATTGAGAAAGCCCCTCAGCTGGTTATGTTTTTAGAGAGATGTTTAAAATGAGTCAGAAGATGCAATGGTCTGAATGGGCCCATGTGTTGTGAAAGTCTATTTATGTCCTCCTCTGCTCTGCTGTTGTCCCAGTGCGTGAGAAAACCTCAGGCCAGTTCACTTACCCGCCTACTCATCGCCAGAGACACGCAACCCTCAAACCCACCAGGGCCTTGAGACGGCAGCATTAATGAAGTGTGCTCTCAGAGTCCAGATTGTAACCTGTTAGAATAACACAGGAGGATTTCCTACGGAGGAAAAAGTGGTAAAAATGCCCCAGGCATCCTTGACCCATTTGCTCTGCTGTCTTGACGCAGTTATTTCCTCTGCAGCAGCTGACAGCAGGTCAGCTAATGACCATGTGCTGCCAAACAACTGTGGCTGAAGCAGAGATCGTGCTAACAGAGTGTTTTCTGTCTGAACTGAAGATGATCCACCTTGGGCACTAAAAAAGCAAGAAAATCCTGCACAAAATGAGCATCATTTTCACAGTTTGAGATAAATCAAATCTTTATCCGTCTAAAACGTTTCCGTCTCAGCTGCTAGGTGACCGTATTGCGATAAAGCTAATGTGACATGAAGCTAACAGACTCCTGGTAATAGCCCTGTTCAGACTGCCATTTCAAGCCGGGATATTTACACCCATGTGATGTCTCATCTTCAATCTGAATGGCGCTGAGGCGTAATGCCGGGACGAAGTGATCCTCCATTACACCCCCAAGTGAGGAGATATCTAAGAGGGTACCCTGCCCAAGCATGAAACAGTTCCTTGGCCCTGGCATGGATGGAAGAGTTGCTCTTCAGCACAGTACAGAAGCTCAAGTGATCAAGAGTCAAATGTTCTCTGGACCCCTCCCTAATCGCACCAGTGATGGCATGTCATCACTCAACCGCTGGCTGTCGAGGTGGTGTCCAGCACACGATGTGGGCTTCATGGATAACTGGCAGTCTTTTTGGGGAAAATCTGGTCTGCTAGCTAGAGACGGCATCCATCCCACTTTTGACGGTGCAGCTCTATTATCTAGAAACATAGCAGAGGTTATTAGTCCAAAACCTTGACAACAACACAGAGTTCAGGAGGCAGAGCTGCAGTCTTACACGCTTCTCTGGGCCTCCCTTAGATCTGTCTCCCAGTCACTATAGCTGTAATTCTGAATCGAACTGTAGTTATACTATAGGTACTGTGTCTGTTCCCTGGCCCAGACCCGTTTTTATAAGTCATCCAAACGTAAATATAAAAGGCGTCAATCATAAAAATCTGAGGGGGGTGACAGATATATTTGTGAACGATTGCAGTCCTTCCCCCCATTTAGCTCTTTATTATGAATTTAATCAAATGTGAACATCCTCATTTTGCTATATCATCATGTCAGAGGTGATTGCAGTGGACATGTTCCACTTGGAATATTCCCGTGCTACTGATATTAAAAATCGATTTCATCATCAGCTTCGATGCAGTCTGTTTCCAAAGATGAAAACCTACAAAGGATCTGGATCGACTTAAAGAGTGTTTCTGTAACCGAGTCATCCCCCGGCAGCTTCAGCACATCGTGCTTTCATGTTCAGGATGACATAACGAACCTTAAATTAGCTTTGATTTGGCTAAACAAAACAGCTGCTAATCAGTACAAAATAACACTAAAGCACTGTTAAGTAATCAGGTACTAATGATGCATCTTGACTTTTTGCCTCCGTTTTGTACAGCAAGTGTCTCACTGTGTGCGAAGGTATTTATCCAGCTTGACTATAAACGACAGGGAGGAAGTCCACCTTACCTGCCGTGTGGCCCTGTGATTAAAAGATGCTTAAAAAACACAATGCAACTTTGAAGGAACAAACAAATGGAAACACTTATACACAAAGTCTGATTTCAACCTGGAATCGAATGTGCAGCCCAGACTCACACACGTTGTTGTTGTTGGTCAGATTTAATATCAGTAGCATGAGAATATTCAAAGTGGATTATTTCCTGCAGTATCAGGCAATCACCTCTGAGACGATGACAGAGCAAAATTAGGATGTTCACATTTGACTAAATGCATAATAAAGAGCTAAATGTAAAAGAAAAACAAGATGGGGGAGAACTGCAATCGTTCACAAATATTATCTGTAAAAGGACTTGAGCTTGTATATTTCTTTTGTCATCTTCTGACTACTCGAAGCTCTTCTACACTACAGGTCACACCTACACATTCACACCCTGATGGTAGAGGCTGCTGAGTAAAGAGTCCATCAGTATTAACTCATCCATTCATACACATTCACACCCTGATGGTAGAGGCTGCTGAGTAAAGAGTCCATCAGTATTAACTCATCCATTCATACACATTCACACACCGATGGTAGAGGCTGCTGTGTAAAGAGTCCATCAGTATTAACTCATCCATTCATACACATTCACACACCGATGGTAGAGGCTGCTGTGTAAAGAGTCCATCAGTATTAACTCATCCATTCATACACATTCACACACTGATGGTAGAGGCTGCTGTGTAAAGAGTCCATCAGTATTCATCCATTCATATGTCACAGATGAAGCAGCGGGAGCAATTCGGTGTAAAAAAGCTCAAGTTCATTCACTATTTACCATTCTGGCCAAAATATAACAACAAACACTTTGAAACGTCCACCACACATTAGAAGTATAATGAACAAAACAAGCGCAACACGACATGCCGCCCAGTAATCATTGAATCTGGATGATCTTGTCTTCATGATCATGGAAAGACTGAAAATGGAAACCCGGTTGATTGCAAAGATGCACCAGATCAAACTATTAGTTTTGACCTCATGTACACTCATCATTTCAAAGTGTGTGAAACATAAAACCCTAATGCAATATTACCCTCCCTGAGTATGTTAGTTCATGTGTGTTTCATTGTTGCAGACTGAGGTCAGTATGTCGGATGTTTATTTGATATTTTGGCTAAAGTTATCTTTTTGCAGGTGTGTTGTTGGTCAATGAATGACTAACAGTATAGTACAATAATATGTTCACAGACATTCAAACTTACAATCAGGAAATGTCCTGATAAGGGCACTCGTATTGTCTCCCAGGTACCACCTCCGACTGCCTTAAACACAGCTCCCCCACATTCTGCTCTCCTGAGTCCGCTCAGTGGCAGATACATCCGTTTAATCCTCCTCTACCTCACACTGGTCTCTGAGTTTGTTTTGGGTCTTGGTGCAGGTATGCTCAGACAGACTGGATTATGTGGAAACATGATGCTCTAAATCCTCTTAAGTCTTCTTCCATTAATCGGTACATCTACGTCGGGGCGTCAGGTTCCTGGGCAGATAGAGCATCGATGAAATCCAGGTCTTCATTCAGACTTGTCCTAACTCACTTTACTTTATATCAACAGGTTTGCCAAACTGGAGCCCATGTTCCTTGATCCGAATTACAAGCGGTACGCCAAAATTGTTGATTATTCGCCTCCGTTTGGTGTGAAGTCTCAAGGTAAGACCACACATATGTGACCGTGCTATTCCAGGTACTTGATAGTACTTGGTAAGATAGTAAAGACCAGACATTGAAAAGAGTGGTATGTTGGTCCTCATGGAGGGTCTTGCATACAGTCAGACAGATTTACAAGCAAACAGCCTTTCTATATAAGCAGCTCACAAAGCTCATCAGTAAAGGTTTTAATAATCCAACCCTCAAGACTGAAGCAATGCAACAAGTTTATTCAGGAAACACCTGTTGGTTTTTTGCTATCATTCATTTACACTGAATGATAGCAGATTTCAGACATTTCCAAGTCACCTTTATTAGTTAAAAAAAACAGCAATGAGCTTGTTTCCTGTTTAGCATGGACACATGATGAATTAGACATGGCATCAGGCAGCATATTTTAGATGTCAGCTAGGTCAGGGAGAACAAAAACATTTCTTTGCATGGTCATCATTTCCACATATCCATATGTGTATTTAAATCTGTAGGTCAATGTGTGATGTCATAAGGTGGATATTATGATGCATTCATGCGCTGCTCGGGTGGTCCAAGTTTCCAAGTTGGGAAGTCGTTCTTCCGACTTCAGTGTGTTCACATGATTTCAGTTCGTAAAGTCGGAATGTTGTAACAACAGCACAAACAAGCGTTGATGCTACAAAGAAGAAGATCAGTGAAATGTTTCTGGTAAAAGTTATATTTGAGCACAAAGTTGATATGCAATACCTGAATTAATTAAAAGTATGTTAACATTAACAAAACATATTTTGCCCCCCATTTGATAACGATTATGACGTCAAGTCAGGAAGTCGGGCACCTCATTCTTTTCCGGGTTTCCGAGTTGTTGTTCCGACTTGAGCAGGTGTTCAAGGGCATTTTAAACTCGGAAACTCGTTTTTCCGATTTGTCCGACACCACATGAATGCAACATTACTTTGGACTCCTAAGCTGAGCTGTCTGAGAGTTTGTTAAAGTGAAATGAGACATTCAAAGATGCAGCAGTGTCCTTCTTTTACATCACTGAGACTACAGGGAGACACTGAGGACCACTATCTACGGTGAGCCTGAAGGGACAAAATAACATGAGATTAATCAAGATTAACTAGTTCATGCTGACAGCTTCTTTTTTTTTAACAAAACATTTTAAGCAGTAACAATATCTACAATACATGTTTTATTATATTAGTCATCAACACTTTTGTGTCGTCTTCATTAATGATGACATCATCATGGCCTTACTTCCCTTCCACAGTTAGCTCTATTCTCTGTAAGAGGGTGTTTAAAAAAGGCTTTTCCCTCAGCTGGTCTGCATGCTCACTCTCCACCGTACAGTTCCTGGTTCTGTGTGTACCCCTCTCTTGAAGGAAGGGGATACACACAGCACTGGTACCAGGACTGCCCCCCCCACACCATCACAGGAATAAATGTCAGCCCAGCCAGCTGTTAGCTTCCCAACAGTCTGGAGGAAAGTTTAATTTAACGTTACTCGAAGTCTTGTTGTTTTCTTGTTCTGCCTCTTCTCTCTCCTTCCTGCAGAGAAGATCATAGATATTCTTCTATCAGCTACTAAGAACTACGGCCTCGGGGAAGAACTTGACAGGCAAGTTAATCAACATATCCCCTTTGTCATTGTCTCAGACCTCTGTGCTACTAAAGTTAGGAACTATGTAGGGATGCAACAATACACAGTTTTCCGTCTGATTGGAGAATCAGCTGGTGGCTGCTTTCATTACAGCCTGCTAACATGACAGCCTGCTAACACGCCAGCCTGCTCACACACCAGCCTGCTAACATGACGGCATGCTAACGTGCCAGCCTGCTAACACACCAGCCTGCTAACACACCAGCCTGCTCACACACCAGCCTGCTAACGTGACAGCCTGCTAACACACCAGCCTGCTCACACGCCAGCCTGCTAACACGCCAGCCTGCTAACACACCAGCCTGCTAACGAGACAGCCCGCTAACGAGACTGCCTGCTAAAGTAACAGCTTGATAGCATTACAGCTTGCTAATTTAACAACAAAAATATTTTGTTAACCTTTTTCTCTTCATTTTCTTTTTACTCTACCAAAACATCCCCACATCACTGATTTGACTTGTTATCTCATACTGCTGCGTCCCCTAACCGCTCGCCATGTTCAAGTTATATTTGATGCCAGTATTGTCAGCTCTAGGGGGATGGGCTTCCTTAATCCAAGCGCATAAATGCAGACGCACAGACAGCCATTTCAAATACCTTGCATGGATGCTTGTACGCAAAACCGTGAAGAAAATACTGAAGCCTCCGCTCTTTTCCAGCAACACACCTCTATCTCCTCTGTGTTCGCACAGAGGAGTTTAGCACAAACAGTGGACAAAATTGTCCTTGATTCGAGCTGATGCTCCGCCCCACGGGTTAATTAAGGTCAAATACATCGGTAGAAATCAGGAATGTAGTCCGCCAAGTCTGTCAGTCATAAGCTCTGATAGTATTGAATCACTGTTTATTTCCACTGTGGGTGAAAGTTTTTGTCTTTATAAGGACTCTGACCCTGTTTTCATCAGCCAGCTGAGACAATTAGGACAGCGTTTATTTTTCCATCCAACATCCACAAAGACGCATGTTGTACATCTTTTTAAATATACAATTTATTAAAACACGCATTGTCTTCTAATAAAAAATATATTACACTTATAGAGTGCTTTACTGAATACTTGAAGGCGCTTAACAAAGAACAACAGGGAAACAAAACAAAGGAGTGATAATGTCAGAGACGGGGGATGAGAACAGAGTCTGTTGGTGGTTGCAGACCGTGTAGAAGAGGTGACTTTAGGGATTTCCTAAGAGGTGGAGAGGGAGGGGAGAGTCTCTGATGGTTTTTGGGAGTGAGTTCCAGAAGTTGGGAGCAGCAATGGAGAAGGCACTGTCCCCCCCAGGACCGATGGTTAGTCCTGCAGGAGGGGGGCAGGAGGATTGCATCAGCAGACCTGAGGTTATCTTATGTCGGACGGGTGAGGGAGTGTGTGAGAAGGCGAGCGGCAGGATTGTGGATATATTGTAGTACTTCTGGTTTTCAGAAGTCTCAAACCTGAATGAATGAGTGAAGATGTGCATTAAAGATAGTCGTTTCTGTCTGTGTTGATTGTTATCTTAATCACTGACACCGATCAGCAAAGACAATCTGCTCTAATGATTCTACAGACAGAACAGTGATTATAACACTTAGACTGATACTTGAGCCCGGTGTACGCTTTACAATTTCAGGCCGATTTAGACCCGATTTTTGAGCCATAGGACTCATTTTGAATCGCCCGACGTCAATCGTTGAATTCAATTCAAAAAACTTTATTTGTCCCCAGGGGGCAATTCAAAGGCACACAGAGCAGTAAATTAACAACAGTGCAAGTAAACGAAACATTTTAACCTAAATATAAAGTGTCAATTTAAATACAACTTAAAGCTTAAACTTAACTTAAAATACAAAATATAAAAGAGTAGATATAAGTGGACAGTGATCGGACTAACAGATGTAAACAGATGTAACCATAACTATGTGCAGTAGTGACCAGATGTAAATAGAACTATGTGCAGTAAATGAGAAATAAATAAATATATACAGAGTTATGCAAGTAGACTGGTAGTAGATCATGCAGTGTTGACTGAGGCACGAAGGCCGATCACCTCTCGATCAGCTGCTTCCATCAGTCGGATGAATTTCATTTATTATTTCCCAACATGTATGTCTGTGTTTTATTTAAGTGTTAACCTAACACCAAGACTTCCTGGAAGGCTGATCTCATGTTTCCTCGATCATAGCTCCTCAGAGTTAGCTCCTCCTCGATCCTCGGTTCAAGCGAGAATCGAGGAGAGAGGAAACGGAAAATAAGAGACATGAGAAGTACCCATAGTCCTCTAAGCGGGCGGCCCAGGTTTGAATCAAGACCTGTGGTTCCTTTCCCGCATGTCATTCCCCTCTGACTCTGTCCACTGTCTTATAAAATAAAGACATAAAAAGCCCAAAAATAAAACTTGATAGAAACAGAAGTGAAGTAATAGCACATCATAATGCTTCATCCTGGCTGTGTTACAGTATGAGCTGTAAGACGTGCATCATCATAGGGAACGGAGGAATCCTCGCCAACAAGTCTCTGGGACCGAGAATCGATGAGATCGATGTTGTGGTCAGGTACGTAAAGACACAAATAATCTACATCCTACCCATTGCTAGGCCAGTGAAAATTGCAATGTGTGATAACTTTGTTCAACGTAATATTTCAATAACAACGTGACGCCATAAAGACATTTGAACAATAATGGATAATAAAAAACAAGCAATAAGAACTAGAACATGTTTTATGGCTGTGCAGTTGTGATTGTTGGTGTTGCTGTGTGCTGCAGGTTGAACGAGGCCCCAGTGAAAGGTTTTGAGAAAGACGTCGGCTCCAAGACCACCATGAGGATCACCTACCCAGAGGGGGCCATCCAGAAGACGGAACGCTACGAGTCACAGTCCCTGTTTGTCCTGTCCGCCTTCAAAGCTCTCGACCTCAGGTGGCTTCGATACATGGTCTTCAACCAGAGGCTGGTAAGGCAGAGGAACATGTTTAATTTGTGGATGTTCTCAGGAGTTTGTGACATGGATCACTTTGATATTCACTCAGCTTCACAACGTGCAACTGTTTTTTTTAACATATTTTGATATGTACTACATTTACAAAAGCTTTTCCATATCCCTTTAATAGAGCTTTCACACCTGCAGAAAGCTCCTGAAAAACTCCTTATACTTCCAGGAGCAGCTGCATTCTACAATTCACTTAGCAGATGCTTTTATCCAAAGCGACGTACATCAGAGAGTAAGTACAACACAAGCAAGGATCTAGAAAAAAGGGAACAATGTCAGTAAGAGCAAACGATAAGCTTTGAGTCCGATTGGACACACAGGTGCTGACAGGAAGTGACCAGAGGCAAAGCACACTGTGACAGCAGTTCTTGAGAGCTCTAATCAGTATGTGCGGCATGTGTGAACGCAAACAGTCAAATATATCACGATCAACAGGATACCCCGTGCACAGCCAACCTATTTACTTAGGTGCCGGTCGGTTGCAGAACCATAAAATGAAAAAATCAAAAGTCTGAAAATGACTTCACCTCATTTTATTGTGAGCGAACAATGCATTTGGCCTATAGCTTCCTCAGGCTGGCCCAGCATCATCACGAGCATACACACGTGTGTAAAACATATATGGTCACATGACCAATCATCACAATATAGATTATTATTCCGGGTTAAAGGAGAAATATAACGTGCTTCAAACAACAAACAACTTATTTATCACTCTTCACCCGGAGTTTCTCCTCCAGCCTCCTCGTATTTATTCTGCAGAAAGTCAGAGTGAGCTGATGTGAGAACACAGCAGGATATAATCAGGAGAATTCACCTGGAGCCAGTGGGGAGGGGGTGGTGACCTTTATTCCCTGTGATCACTGCACGACCATAGACTGTCTGCACGCCACCTCTACCATCTCTGTGCTCTAATGAACCTCCTGCTGCATGTTTCCTGTTCTCCAGTATGTTCTTCTCCACTCTTTAGTTCACATTGAGATTCTCTTTAACTACACGTAGCATTGATACAAACACACATATTCTCATCAAAGCATCGTTAGCGGAGTCTGCTGCTTAGTCGCCACTCTTATCCTTCATCAAATCAAAACTGATGAGTCATCAAAACATTCACCCCCCGTACAGTGTGTCCATCGAGACATGAGCTAATCACACCTATTTGTTTTTTTGAACCAGGCTGTAAACATGTTAATCTCTGCTGTAAAAACAGGCTTTTTAGAATGGGTGTCTATGTGACTTCCTGTGCTTCTGCAGCCAGCCTCTAGTGGACACTCTGGGAACTGCAGGATTTTACACTTAAGCGTCGGATTCATTATTCAACACTGGAGGTTGTTGCTTGTTAGGAACATGTTTTATTGGAGCACCAGTGTCTTAGTGGTTAGTCTGCGAGCCCCATGTACAAAGAGTGTTGCTCTCAAAGCGGGCAGCCCGGGTTCAAATCCAGTATGTGGCTCCTTTCCTGCGTGTACAAACAATGGCCGTTGGCAGCAGCAGTCTTCTCGCCCGTGTTTCTTCTCGGTGAGTGTTGTGTTACTGTGTTATCAACCTTGGAGAATGCAGCCATGTCCTTGAGTTAAAGATAACAGTTGTAATAGTACCTGCAGTATGCCATGTGAAGCTTCAAGAATAGACTGTTCACTCACACACATTCACAAATTAACACATCAACAAAGTTATCTTCCTGAGCCACATATAGACAGGAAGCAGCTTGTTAAAGAGGGTATTTCTAAACCCATTTACATATTTTTGATTGTAAATACTTCAAAGTACATCTTGTTGCAATGCTTGTTCCTGACACTTAAAGGTTCATCTTGTTATTCTCAGTGTCTGGAAAAAAGAGAGATTTATTACTTCTAGCTCTGAGTATAAAGTCTGTCATCTGTTGACGTCTACCTCCAGCATCTCACCTTATGTGAGTTTCAGGTGTGTACAGTATGTTCCATAAACTTACATACAAACCTGCACACTTTCACATCTGCACTCCTGATAATATCTAGATCATTTCAGGACTACTGCTCCTTGACTTTAGTTTATGACACATTGAGCCATTGAGTCAATTTAAATGTCGCAGAAGTGTAACAGGGGACGAAGTGATCCCCCCTCTGTACCGTCTTCTGGAGGTAGTAACGAAGTGTTACAGAGGAGAGGCGGTACCATGGAAGCCAGTGGGGGAGAGCAGAGCTGTGTGTGTGTGTGCGTGCATGTCTGACTGTGTGTTTATGTGGAGCTCCTGCTGTGCCAAATCGCAAACATCCAGACGCCAACATTACAGCGTCGCAGAATCAATATGAACGGTACAAAGACGTGATGGCGGCTGAGCTTAGTTACGGCACTTTTGCTAAAAAAGAAAGTCTTCATTTTAGATCTGGATTGACCTTGCGATTGGATCTCGATTCCCTCGTCTGCATTCAGATAAAAATAGATTTTCTGTACAAAAATCACCAAGTGCTCAAGTGCGTTTTTAAGCTGGTAAATGGCAGAGAGGGATTGGATGAAGGAGAGAGAGACAGCAGTAAGGAGAAGGTCTAAAGACTTTAATTGATCATGTGGCCTGATGTTTGTCTGTAGGTCTGTGGTTTATAAATGAGGACATCTCCTCACTGTGCTGCACATTCTTATAAACATGATTAAAATGGTAAACTGCTCAGAGCACTTACACACTACAAGGCTCGACTTTTTACCATCTTTTCTCCCTCATGAGGTCATAATGGTGCATTTAAAGCAAACGGTGGTAAACTGGTCAGTTAATAAAGCTTGTAGAGCGCTGGACTGATTGAAAGTGAGTGACGAGCGAAGGGAGGCAGTGAGAATTTTAACGTTTTTTTTCTCTCTGAGAGATCCCCTAAAATCACACTGCATCTTATATACCGGTGTGACTTTATGGTAATAGAAATTTGATCTTGGCACATTAACTGTATTCCAAGGTTGCTTGGTGTAGACTTATAAATATTGGCACATATTCACTGATGTGTTATTAAAGAGATGTGAGAGTTGCTGGTCATTTGATGGTAAATGGACTTGAGCTTATATAGTGCTTTTCTAGTCTTCCGACTACTCAAAGTGCTTTTACACCACATGTCACACCTACACATTCACACCCTTTCACACACTGATGGTAGTGATGATTGCTATGTAGTATCATCCATCAGAAGTAACTAATCCCATTCATACACCACCACTGAAGCAGCGGGAGCAATTCAGGGTTAAGTGTCTTGCCCAAGGACACATTGGACATGTTGCTCAGCTGGGGATTGAACCTTCCCTCAACCTTCCGGTTGAGAGGCGACGACTCTACTAACTGAGCCACAGCCGCCCCCACTGAGGCATGTTTGATCCCTTCTGCTTTGTGCCAGTGGATTCCCCGGGAACTGTTGTGTCCGCTCAGTGCTGCCGGTGGAGCGGTGGTGTTTGGTTTCCCACTCTGTAAGAAGAGCAAAATGGTCTCAGACCGTGAGCTCCTCATGACAGATCAGGTGGTAATCCTCTTTAGCAGGGTAACAGTGCTATGCTAGTACGCTAATAGCTCATGTCATTGCTGTTGGGTTTCTCCCTCCACCTCACTCTAACATTCCTGAGTGGACTGAGAAGCAGGTATCCCAGTAACTGTTCATAAAGAGCCTCAAGGTCTGCTGGGCAGGCGGCTCATAATTAGTGTAATGGCCCCGGATACACTGATATGGGGGCTTCCTTCTCTGACTGGCTTTGTTTGCACTACTTGTTTTTCATCAGTGTTTAAATGGTGTTGACCCCCCGTCCAAGCCTCCGTTCAGAGTATTGCTTTCACTGGGCTGCTTAAATGCCATCATATTTTCCACTCCACTTTGCATCCCTTCCCACCAGCTGACCGTTGTAAGAATTGATCATAATTAACAGTGTCAGTTTAAAGGAAGAATGTGCGACATGTTCTACATCAATAAATCATAAATTCAGTCTATCCTGTGTCAATGTGTCTCTGAGTCATGACTGTCTACAATGAGGGAGAAGCTCGAGTCCCGCTGGCTGTGTTGTTGTCAGAGCTGTGTTTACATGGATGGGACGGCCGGCTCCTCCCCTTGTGTATAAAAGCTGTTTTAGTCAAGAACTAGAGAGAAGAAGAACATACTCACTGATTATTTGGATGTTAGTAAGAGTTTTTAGATCACGCTCATTCTGTGTCAGTTTACATGAAATGTGAAGCTACGAGCTAACTAAAGAGCGCTAACATTAGCATGCTAACACAACAATGCAGGACACAGTGATTGCAGCTCGAGACAAAGGCGACCACTGCTTGCGCCAGACTTCTTCGGGCAAGGTGAGCAGAGGGGGGTTGGAGGTGTGTCTCTGGAGGAGAGCGGAGGCTTCAGTATGGAGGAGGTGTGGCCAAACAGCAGTTTGTTTTGGTTTTCAGCTGGTGCTCAAGGGCGACGTCTACTGGATCAGAAAGTCGCACACTCTTCCTTTAAGGGCCAGATATGTTTCTTAGGACTTGGTTGAGACCAAACTAGAGATAAAAGGAGAGCAGATTCTGATATTCAGTTATCAGGCAGACACAAACACGACTCCAGTTGAACTATAATGTTGCTCTGAGTGTAAATAAGGGATTGATTGCTACCGTCATTGTAAGTCTGGCTGCGTTGCTGCTTCTATCGAGTTCTTTTGGTCGATCCTAATCGTAATATTCTTGAGATCGATACAAACTAAAACCAGCTGCCTGATATGGAATCACTTTCTGTTTATTTGTGTGTTTTTATTTGATTGATGCACATTTTGTTAGTACGAAGGTCACACTAACCAGACGGTTTCATTCTCCCACTCTTTGTCTCTCAGCGCAGCACTGATGGGTTCTGGAAGTCGGTGGCCAAGCATGTTCCAAGGGAGCCAAGCGACATGCGCATCCTAAACCCCTACTTCATCCAGGAGGCCTCTTTCAAGCTCATTGGCCTTCCTCACAACAATGGACAGATGGGCAAAGGGGTGAGAGACCTGTTGTTTTCCTAGCAGTTTATGTCTGTTCTGTTCTGAGCAGAGAAGTAGCAGGAACAGTGAGTTGTTTCACACACACAGCCGTGAGTTAACGGTCAGGAGCTCTGGCAGCTGATTCCACTGTCTGTCTGTTTGCATAATGAAGGCCTCTTTGAACACACAACAGATGCTGCAGAAAGCCCAGAGCCTGACAACAACCTGAAAACAAACAGTGTTACCATTAGCCTCTTATAAATAGAAGCATCTGTAAGATATCCACACATAACCATTTAGTGTTAATGAGGAACTTCTGTTTATCGTTTACATGTTCCCTTCTTACAGGCTGTGATTGGGGACGGGTCACGGCTTGGTCACCTGTTTTCAAACAACTCTTTATGCATGTCTGTTTGTTTTTGTTCTTTTAGAATATCCCAACCCTGGGGGCAGTTGCCATAACGATGGCTCTTCATACCTGCGATGAAGTAGCTGTGGCTGGATTTGGCTACAACATGAGCACCCCCCATGCTCCTCTCCACTACTATGAGAAGATCAGGATGTCAGCCATTAAAGAGGTAACTACAGGCCTGATTAATAAAGATGCACCAAAGGGTTATTCTGCACTCACACGACTCCAGGAATAACCACATTGTGTGCTCGTGTATGAGCAACTGTACCATGCCGAAGCCCACCTCTTCCATCCGTACCAGGGCCAAGAAAGTGTACCGAGCTAGATCATTGAACAGAGCACTCACATTAGTCAAATGAGCTGGACCATGGGGGTACGGATTGCCTAGCATGAGTGCACCCTAAGCAGTGTAGGTTCAGTTGCCACTGACCCAAACTACTGCCAGGGTAAGACTTGTGTCAGAACTTCATTATGTCCTACATGAGCCCAAAAACTGGCAGTTAATACACAGTTTGAAGGTTGAGAATGAGTAGTCAACAGCTTATCCTACTGTCTTTTTAAAATTCAATTATACGATGATGAAAAAGCAGACTGGTTTGTCAGGAGGTTTAAAACCCGCCTCAGCTCCAGCTCTCAGCCTGTCGTTAGGTTGACTGAAAGTTAGACTGAGACAGCATTTCCAGCATGGAGACCACCATCGATGGGACTCCAGCGCCCCCTGCAGGAACAGATATGTCACTCAGGCTTCAAACATTAATATTTACAATCAAAGGTTTACCAACAGGTCAAGTAAAGATGTGAAGTTGATACTCATGAGCATGTAGGAAAAGACAAACACGGTCTCAGTGAGAGTTGTTAACCTCATTACAAGGTGATTACAATGTATGAACATTCATGGCCCCTCAGGGTCTCTGACACAAGTCTGAGATTCAAAGTCCAGAACTAAAATGTGCCCTGTTTCATGTGTGACCTCAGCACTTTGGACTCTGGACGTGTCTGTTGCAGTGGTCAGTTTCAAGTTTAGTTTGGGTTTATGATTCATCTGCTTCCACAGCTGTTCGACACTGCAAGTTTTACTCTTAATGGGCGATACTCCCACACAACCCCCATATTTGTTAGCATTCGGACCGACCTGTCATCCACCATCCTTCTTGGTCAGTTTTCCAGGTTTACATTGCACTGGAACAGTTTACTGTGACCTTTCTATGATTAATGCCTCATAGGACGCTGTGTGGGATTTACCCAGAATGCTGAGTTGTGGCCTGAGATGTGTATGAAATCTCAAGTGTGTGAATGTTACTGGACCAGTGTTTTAGCAGCACTGTCACAGCACACTACATGCACTGCTTAAGTCGCTGTCGACTCCACTTCACAGACTCAGTCTTCAGACAGCTGATAAATCTCTCTTAGCCAGGTTTTCACAGACAGACATGCACTTGCTGTGTGCATCTTGACAGCAAAATGACTGCATGTTTTTTTTATAAACCTCCATTATCTTATCTACAGGTAGGTAGCATCATGCAATAACGAGCAACATTTAGAACATTTTAACAAAAGAAGGCAACAGTTTTCATAAACTCCACCACCACATGGCAACCTTCGTGAGCGGAGGGGGGGTGGGGGGGGGGGACAGCTCTCTACAATGTTTAGAATCTGGACTGCAGTACCCATATTGCTCATTTAACGAAACAGAACATGTAAATGACTTCTAATATATAAACTGGGATTAGGATTAGGCATCAGAACCGTCACACACTTCGTTGTATAGCACAAAAAAAGTCTGTGAGTCAGTGAGTGGAGAGTTTTTTTATGTCCATATGGCAGCAGCCGCGCTTTATTGAAATCAATCTCCGAGCACAGGTAGTGAACATGTTGCTAATGAATCAGATGCTGCTAGTTGCTGTAGCATTGCAATGTAGGACTTCACTTTCTTTGTTACACCAACAAGGATAAGAGTGTCAAAGTGTGAACACCTTTGATCTGGACTAGAGTTAGGCAGACACACTGACAAACTAACACCCCCCAACCTGAGAATAAGGTGTATCACTGCCCGTAGTATGGAGCCTCTATTGTGGTCAGTCTTTTGAAAATGTTTTCATGATATTTAATGTGAAAAGCAAAAATATCAAAGTCCATTTTGTGTGTGTGCTTTTCCAAACTAAACCTCCCACATCCTCTCTTGTGTTCTCTGTCCCCTCTGCAGTCCTGGACTCACAACATATCTAAAGAGAAAGAGTTCCTGATGAAGCTGGTGAAGGCTGGAGTTATCCAGGACTGGACCAACGGGGTCTGTGGTGCAGGGTGCTGATGGTCTACAATCAGCTTGAAGGCTCTTGAATGCAGCATTGTGCTCACTTCCAGCTGTTCCAGCACCTGAGGAGGGAAACTAAAGGTTGTGTAATCCCAGCCATCGGAGCTGTGACACATGTTGGTCAGTGTTCACACTGTGATCAATGAGGCCTGTTGACGAGGAAACACTGCCATAGCGTGGCACATTATCATATTGGAAGTAAATGGCCTATGCATTATATTGCAGTATGTAGCTCGTCCTAACCGCAGCCGCAGGTGTGTTTTTTTTTTCTTTCCGTGTGTGTGCGTGACGTCAGCGTCGGGGATCGAACCCAGCACCTAAAGCAGGCTGGCCTACATCTGGACATGCTGTAGACTGGAGAGAGAAGGTGCAGACAAAGATGTTTGACTGAGCCTGTGCCAAGAATACCTCTACAAGTGTCCTTCTGCTTATATGTTTGAATGTAATCTGCATCATACTTAAAAGTTATAAATATTGAAATCGTTATGTTTTTCTGTTCAGCAAGGTACACACACTAAATCAGCCGTCCAACCACTTCTCTTGCCCGCTTCCATCGCTGCAACACCTGTTGGTTTGACCTGATAACTGCTCTCATATCTGACAAACCGAGAGGCGTCCAAAACGCCCGTGTGGGGGGGGTGTCTTAAAAGCGCCTACCTTCTCTGGTCCAAACAAATCCAGAGCATTCAGGAGCAGAATCTAAAGTTAGAAGGAGGACATACTGACTGCTGCATTGTTGTCAGAGAAGCCAGCACTTCAACATAGCATGTTTCTTTAATGTCTGATCATATAGTAAGATACCTTTATCATTTCACTCACTACACATCTCACTGATTGGACCTTTACATTTTTGAAAACGGTAGACTTCTTTGCTAAATGTTCTGTTTGAAAAACAACAGGAAGTAAATCTTAACCTGCTTGTTGTGATAAGAGTTAATCAACCGGTCAAGTTAGAGTTATTTTCTATGAACGTCTACATTATTGTGGAGACATGACAAAGGTGTCGTGTTGCAAGACTGTGGCCAGGGGACATGAGGCGGGACCTTACTGAGTCTTTGTTCATGTGACCCAACAGGTTGGGTCTCACTCTAACTGTTGTGTAGGACGCCCAGTGAGATGTTCAGGCTCCGGTTATTTCACAGTAGCATGCTGTTTAACTGAAAACATGTCTGCTTTTTTAAAGTGCATACTGTAATGCATTGTGTCCTCAGTTCACTCAGACATCTCCTCGTTTCTCACTCATAGAGGCGTGGAGAACATACAGTATACAAACACCTGCAGGTCATGTTTATGTCTGACACATGGAGGGTAACGGCATCATATCAGACAGCAGTGTATTGAATCTCTTATGGACCGGCTTGGTGGCATCAGGGTTTGACTGTCGAGTCTCCAGAGTCTTTATAGCCAGGAGATTCAAACATGCAGACATTCTCCTCCTGCATGTGACAAAGACTTTTAATGTGTTTCTGCATATTACTGTGAGCACATCCTATACTCAACCTGCAGATATTTATGTGATGATCAACTCTCTGATTTCATTTCAAATAAAGAGCAGAAGGTCGATCAAGGTGGCTTCATCCAAGATTATCAAACAAACCCTTAAACCCCCAGGGTCAGACTTCATGACATCAATGGACAATGGAAAATGTCTCAAAGAAATAAGACATTATTGATGAGAATCAGCTTAACTGCCAATTTCTACAAAGTAGCAAGCGCTGAGGGCCGTCTCCAGAGTGTGCCTGCAGCGCCACTCAACCCTGCTCACTGTAAGCATGTGTCAAACTGGGCGGTAGAGAATGCTCAGACAGGAAGTCAGACAAGGAAAAACAGAGAGCGCTCGGTCAATTTCAAAGTAAAACGCAACATACAGACTCCTGATCGTATGTTTAATCACTTTATCAACATGACGTCAAAACAGAAAGAACAACAAATCATCCTCTGAGAGACGAAGACACATGTTGTTAGCACCTTTTTCTCTTTATTCCCATGTGATCTTGGAGTTCTCCTGAGATCTTGTAGTTCTCTTGTGATCTTGTAGTTCTCCTGAGCTCTTGGAGATCTTGGAGTTCTCCTGAGATCTTGTAGTTCTCCTGAGTTCTTGTAGTTCTCCTGTGATCTTGTAGTTCTCCTGAGTTCTTGTAGTTCTCCTGTGATCTTGCAGTTCTCCTGAGATCTCAAAGTTCTCCTGTGATCTCGTAGTTCTCCTGAGATCTCGGAATTCTCCTGAGATCTCGGAATTCTCCTGAGATCTCGGAATTCTCCTGTGATCTTGTAGTTCTCCTGTGATCTTGTAGTTCTCCTGTGATCTCGGAGTTCTCCCGTGATCTTGTAGTTCTCATGTGATCTTGTAGTTCTCATGTGATCTTGTAGTTCTCCTGAGATCTTGGAGTTCTCCTGAGATCTTGGAGTTCTCCTGAGATCTTGGAGTTCTCCTGTGATGTGTGTTCAGCTGCTCATGGCTGCGCTCGGGCTCCAGAATCAGACCCCCTGGGGCAGAGCGTGCGCTGAACGAACGCAGTGCACACTGATTGGAAATTGGCAGTCGGTCAGTAAATCTAATTTGATCCTGTGTTACTTGTTACTGGTATGCTTTTTCCCTTATCACGACACAGAGACTAGATCTTCAGAGTTTCTTAGGCGTCCTCACTCAGTGAAGAAGGAAACTGAAAGAAAGATGTAAACAGTGGATCAGATAAACTTACTAAACATGCTTATATAGTTTCAACAGATGTTTGTAAGAACAGCAGGATGAATGTTTAGGGTTCTGCTCAGTGACGATGTATTCTAACATACATTTGATCTGTGAAGAAACTTAATATTTGACCTTTGAACCGGCTTACACTGCACCTAGGTAAGTTAAGCCACACTTGAAAATCGAGGTCCCGTGCTGGTTGGATCATATCGAGTCATTTGCTGCCTGATGTGTACTTTTTGATTTCATGTGTGTATGGAAAGTATCCTTCTCTGAAGCTTTTCTTTTAAGTCACTGATCCTTCTTACTGTGATTTGTCTGAAAGCTTCTTCATGATTGTTTGTGTCTCAGTCGAACACCAAAGCACTCCCCTCACTCGCCTCCTTCAGCCCTGTGAAAGGCTGCTATCTCAGGCCCCCAGACGTCACTCACCGTCAGTGTTATTCACACATGATGGACTCAGCTTTATCGATCTGTATCACATTATTTAAGTTTGGTTGTAAAAGTCTGTGAGAGTATTTGTGTTTTGCCTCATATACAATGACCTGCATAGTTTGTGCTCGACTCACTGCAGTTTTTGTTGACTTGATGCTGGTCAGGTTCTCATGCCAAAGTATTTGTATATATTTATTGTTGGCCTTGCACAGGAGCTCATTGATAAATAAAGACTTAATGATGTTGCAACTTGTCTGTCATTTTTTAATGAGGTCTTCCGGCATGCACTGTCAAACTCCCTCAGATGATCCAGAACGCAACTGCACGACTTCAACCTTCCTAAAAGAGCACATGTCACTCCGCTATTCATCTCCTTGCACTGACTGCTCGTATCAAATGTAAGCTGCTCGCTTACAAAAAACAGCCACAGAAACGGGTCGTCCTTACCTAAACTCATCCAGGTATACACTCCCTCCTTCACAACAGGGTCCTAAGACACTTCTCCTCTGTTGCCCCCCGGTGGTGGAACGAACTTCCAAACTCCATTCGATCTGCAGAGTCCCTCTGCACCTTTAAGAAAAAGCTAAAGACCCAGCTCTTTCATGAATACCTACTAACTTAATGATGAGGATGATGAAATGTAGGATGGTATTGATACTGATTGGAACTCTCAAGACCTAAGCACCTGTGTGTCCAATCCAAGTGGCAACCTCCAGTCTTGAAAAATGAAGCTGATGCTGAAGTGCAAAATCCTGCAGTTCCTCGAGTGTCCACTAGAGGCTGGCTGCAGAAGCACAGGAAGTCACATACACACCCATTCTAAAAAGTCTATTTTTACAGCCGAGATTAACATGTTTACAGCCTGGTTCAAAAAAACAAATAGGTGTGATTAGTTATTGTCCTCGTGGGCCTATTCCTGAGGCTAGACCAGTTTACAACCACTGACTTAGAACTTAGAAGACTACTCACCATTTTAGTATTTCTCATCACTTAGCTTCATGGATTGATAAAAGTTTGTGAACTATTTCTCTGGATTCTTCACTCCTTACAGCCACCCCCCCCGTGGTCTATAAATAGCAGTTCAGTTAACCTTGAAGTCGGAGATCTTATCAGTCTGTGTAGAGTATGAAACGAGGGCGACCTCCGGTGTTGAAAAAACAAAGACAAGCCCATGCTGAAGTGTAAAATTCTGCAGTTCCTGGAGTGTCCACTAGAGGCTGGCTGCAGAAGCACAGGAAGTCACATACACACCCATTCTAAAAAGACTGTTTTTACAGCAGAGATTAACATGTTTACAGCCTGGTTCAAAAAAAGAAATAGGTGTGATTAGCTCATGTCTTGATGGACACACACTGTACAGGGGGTGAATGTTTTGATGACTCATCAGTTTTGATTTGATGAAGGATAAGAGTTATTCACAATAAGGCGTGTAGCTGACCTGATTGACAGGTGGGCGTGGTGTAACGGTGTGTCAGGAGGTTTAAAACCCGCCTCAGCTCTCAGCCTGTCGTTAGGTTGACTGAAAGTTAGACTGAGACAGCATTTCCAGCATGGAGACCACCATCGATGGGACTCCAGCGCCCCCTGCAGGAACAGACGGGTGACCTCACTCAGGCTTCGTACGTTTATATTCACAGTCTGTGGTCTTTGCCTCACATGGCTGAAGAGTCAGTCTTGTTGGGATCCAAACTGTTCACACACAAATAAGTCTTATAAGTTTGCCCCTTGCATTAAAATATAATCTTAACATGATTTTGTCTGGTGAGAAGATGCTAACTGTTAGCAGAGATCTGCAGCTTTATGGTAGTAATGGATGAGTTAAAGCACATGAACAGTAACAGATGTGGGTGATTAGTTCTTTTAAGGATGTTCCCCTTTACAAGAAAAATAGAAAACCAATCTTGCATGAACATCCCGCATTACTCCATGACAACATTGATTTGTATTCTATATGTGTTTTTGCATGACTGCTCTTAGACTGTTGGTATGAAGACCAACCCTGTCACAAGCAGCAGATTAACTTGATTCAACACGCACCTTAAATTATCGAGCTGCTGCTGCTACAGGCAATATAAGCCCTCGGTCAGTAACTCTAACTGATCTCACTACTGAGGAGAAGGAAGTAAAAAGAGAGTTAGAGCTCACTTTGGGCTCCACCCAGTGGTATATATCGTTAACTTACACGATGCCTTTATTTGTGTTATTATTTGTAACACCAGGAAGGCTGCGGCCGTAACCGGGAGACCTGCAAGCGGGCAGCCTGGGTTTGAATCTGGCCTGTGGCTCCTTTCTCCCATGTCAGTCCCCACTCTCTCTCTCTCTATCCACTGTCCTGTCTCTACAATGAAG